GTACCATATTTTGAAAGATTGTTATGATTTAAAGATAAGCAATTCTCTGAAAAAATTAAATGGACTTTACATTGGACAGAAATATACTTTCAAACAGTATGATATTAAAGTCCCTCTAGGCCTATGTGTTTGTAGCTTAAAATTTTAACAAGATGCATGACAAAAATTATACCTGTTACCTCTTCGTAGACACCGATGTTAGTTAACTTCAGCTAATTTTGGCACATTTTATTCTGTTGACTCGTTGACATCCGGTTTATGTTAAGTGATAGAAAATATACCCTTTTCATTAGAAAATGTGAATATAATTTCTGTTGTTTTTCATAATTGCAATTACAACTGGGAATTTCCATATATGTGCCCCATCTTCTAGACATTATGCACATTTTTCATTCTATATCAATCTAATTACCTATTTTTTATTCCGAAATATATAATTCGTAAACTTAATCAAACATAAATTGTTTTGACCTATTGTTATTTTGAAATATTAACTGAATGCAACACAAATTTACGCTGGTATTTTTTATATGAAAATTTACCAGGTCAATTTTTAGAGACTTTTAATATTTTTCAAATACGAATTCTTTATGTAGCTGTACGAAATTTAAAGAAACTAAAGGATGAATATCTCATTAGATATGATGAAGGTTACTTTAACAGAATTTTGATTTTAGGTTTCAGAAACAAAGAGGGACTTTAAACTAAAAAGCAAATTTTTCAGTGTGTTAATTATAATTGAAATGATTTCACATGTAATTCAACATACAGCTTTTGAAAAACAAATTTTAAAGTCTTTTAAGAATTTTATATATAACTTGAATGCAACAAAACATTTCTTTACGGTAAATATAATTTCATTTTTGTCTAAAGATGATGGACAGCTTTGCAACCATTTATAATATAAAAATTACTAATATACATTTTTGGTAATTTTACATAGGATTTTATCTGGATTTGCTTTAATGTTGAAGGTCTTTAAATGATTTAATCACTCTACATGTATATACAGACACACCGTACATATAGGCATTTTGCATAAAATAAATCATTTAACATCATTCATTCACAAATTCAAAGGAAAATTAACTAATGAAAAATGAACTCTTTCATTAAATGTTTTTATTTTTTTTTTTTTTATTTATAGCTGCTGGCATCTGATGATCCAAGTAGTACATTAGCAAAGAAAGCTGCGGCTGCATAAAGATCTAGAAAATATAGAGAAGAAAGAACTAGAAAATGTCTGTAAGACATGAATGCCCGCCCCACCCCCCCCCTTTCATCAAGTATTTCAAACAAAACAAGGAAGGCTGGGTAATGGAGGACATCCTCCATACTGTCATTAACGACGATGTGGCTGGCCAGTTGGAACCACCTTCCATCAAGGCCCATAGCAGGAAAACTTTGTTCATTTTTGACGGTCACTTTGAAGTCTGTTGTTAAATTCATTTTCATTGCAATATCATAAAAAAGTTATTGAAGTAAAAAAGGGTCAGTTTGTCTTCACTGACATTTTATACTCAATAGTATTTGAATTAGACACTTGCTCAATAAGCCTTTGGCAGGTGCACTGAAATGTATACTTTATTTCTTTTCAGACTTGGATGCCTGGGGTGCTGCAGCAAATAGAAAAAAAAAACTCAATAAAATTTTACTGCTCCTAGCTCTAGATATTTGTTTTGTCATTTGAGTTATGTTAGAGTTAGAGGCCCATTCCCATGAAATATGTTTCTCAAAGATTCTTTTTCCACCAATAACTGATAGAACATTTTGGCAGTAACACTTATCATGACTGAGGCTGGTTTTGAATAAGCTCAGTTTTGAAATAAATCAATTAGAGATTTTTTCCTGAAAAGGAATGTCAATGGAGGGCCATTTTCTTCCACAGGGCTTCTTAAAAAAATCAATGATTACAGGCCTGCCTGTATCAAAATGGTAATGAATAATGACTGTAATGGTCAGTTTGCTGAAAATAAAAATTCTACATTAAATGTTTTCATTAGCTATATACAACATAGTTGAACATACATATACAATAACAATCACACCATTAAGAGTTTCACAAAAAAGACATTTTTGTTATATAGAGTCCAAGAAGTAAGTAACCAAATGAGTCTGTGAAGATTTGTCCATTGTAATGTCCATCATGCACTTTCCGTCTCCTGTAGTGTCCATCACACTATTGTATTATTTAGTTTAAATCTAAAACAAACACATTTTCTTCTAATAATTTCATTTATTTGAATGATAATATGAGAAAATATATCATTATAAATATATTTTTATGACTTTGAGACACTAGGATGCTAACAATAAAAAAAGAACCAAAGTCCTAATTTCACTGTGATATGCTACTATTGTTAAATGTTGAAAAATACTATTAAAACCCATATGCTGTCTTTTAATGCATCATCATGTCCCGAAACAGGATTTTTTCCTTGTAATCAGAATCAAAAATGTTATGGTAGATTGAATTTCTGCCTTTATTAGCCAGAGAATTGGAAAAATTCTGTCTCCGTAATGTCCATCATAGACACATGCAAAATTGTTGCTATGGAAACCACATGCAAAATATTATCTTCATATTTTTACATTTTTTAACTTCAGTTGGTATGCTATCAATTGGGACTACTTTGGTTCCCATATTCTCACCTTTATTTTTTGGTCACAGTGTAACACAAAAGTGCCACAATACCCGAGAGTGACCCACATCTACTTTAAGTCATGAAGATGTATACCAAATTTCATCATCCTATCTCAATTACGAAGAGAGTTATGCTCAGGACAAGTTTTTTTTTTACAAAGGGCAATAACTCTATTCTAAGAAGGGCCACAGCCCCTTATTTTGGTACCTGACACACGTACTTGAAGGCATGAACATGTATATCAAATATCATCATCCTCACTTATATGATATTCTACACTGGAATCAAGACAAACCTGTAGCGCGGCATCTCACGTCACCAGGTCACAATGCCGATGACATTATAGTTACCGGCATAGTGACTGATGTCAACAACATCAACTGTCGCCTACGGACTGAAGAAAGCAGCTGGATTCGGATTTTACGTACACGACAGCCGGAAAGCCTTAATTTGATATCATAACAATGCCAAACATCAAGAAAACCCCACGGAAGCAGGTAACCACAACTAAACCTACTGGATCCATCAGAATACCGTGTATTTTGTGTGGAAAATCTTATGCCTGCTTAAGGAATTTAAGAAGACATGTCAATGTGGCCCAGGTGGCCGGCAAAACATGGTACAAGTGTGTAAAAGAACATTTGGCTGAGATGATGACATATGAGGATTTTCCACCCAGGTTACATCGTTGAACCTAAAGTATATGAGGATACAGTGAAGCAGGAAGCGATCAAACCAGACAACAAAAGACCGTTTGAAGTTCTGACAAAAAAACAATTGGAGAGTGTAAAATTCAGGACAAGGCCAGCCACTAGAGTCAACACCAGTGGCCCGCCTATGAGACCGGTTCAAGAGGAAATGATGGATTTATTAAGGCAGGACTTGGCACTACATGATTCGGAAAGCACAGCTTCTACCCCCAATTCATCTGAAATGGAGGAGGATAAGCGTGTGGATTACCGTGAATTGAATTACCAGTCGGAATCCATGTCTACACTATGTTTAGTGTAAGCTTATGTATATAAGCTTGGTTTAAACAGACAGATGAGAACAACTACAGACTATCATCACTACTAATTATACACATGCACAGGCTTGGCCAGAGTTATATCACAACACATGTACATGTGAGAGTGTATCATTATATATTCAGGAATGTGGGTAGCCAGAGATTTGATTGGTCAGCTGAATTGATCACAACTTCATCACTCAGTAAGTAGTAGTGCTGGGCACTGCTTTGTTTCACAGGAGGCTCATTAGATATTCAAGAGGTTCGGGTATCGGGATATATGATTGGTCAATCAGGCAGAACACAGCTGATCACTCCCTGGTCAGTGTCGTTTTACATGGCGTTTTTATTAGAGTGATACTCCGTTTTAACACACTTTTAGTCGTCTTGTACCGTTAAATTTTACTGCTGGACTGGGAATTCACTTCCAATTTGTTTACTTACTTAACTGAAGACGTGAAACGTTGTTTGATTCAATTTATACATCGTACAGGGCAGTGAGTGACCAAGGAGACCCAGTCGAATATTTTGGCTTGGCGCGCTCCTTTTCGCCAACATAGAGTAGAGCTACGTCGAGAATGGCCAGGAGAACCGGTGCGAGGAACTCTCAAACATGGGATTCGTCAAATCCGCAAAACTGGACAGTTAAAAGACTAAAGGAAGAATTGATCAAACTTGGTGTTGCCATTCCTTCCACGGGGTTGTCAAAACAATCGCTAAAGACACTTTATGTAGAGAATGCCATCAAGCAAGAAAAAATCTCGGATTGCAAACAACGGGGAATGTGTATATGTACCCGACAGGGATCGGACAGATGACGTCGGTAATTCCAGTGAGGAACTACTTCGCGACGCGGAAGGATCAAGTGACTTGTCAGGTAGAACTGATGCGGTAACTGGTGCGCCGCGCAGTGATACCAACATGGCGGCCCCAATGCTATCCACTACCGATCTTCGCATAGAGAGGATGCTTTCATCTATGGAGTCACTGGTATTGATACCAAAGTTTGAGCATAGTACCGCCCCTAAGATCGTCGAGGATGTTAACTTCATAATCAATGAGATCGACGATCCTAGATTGAGTAAATCTCTTAATATTACGGAGTTCGTCACAGCTTTTGGAAAATACAAGAGGGTCATGTGTCAGAAGTTTCCCAACAGGAGGGTGGAACTCGATAGATATGAGGCTCATATTATCGATATATCTAACATTTATGGAGCCAAATTCTATGATTACCACTCATTTCTCGGCGAGGGCGGCAGCGGTCCTTAAGGACAACATTAAAATAGACTGGGGCATTAGAGACAATAGCTTACTGAATCTAATTGTGGGTAATGCAAGAGTAAATGCATGCCAACTTTGTGGACTTACCTCCCATTCCACAGTCTTTTGTCCCCAGCAAAGACAAAAAAAGGCAGGACTCTATGGCTCACAACATGGGCAGGGTAAACAAAATCTTGATAAGCATGGTTGTCCAAAGGTTAAAATCAACGGGAAAGAGACATGCAACAATTTCAATGCAGGGAAATGTTATAGAGGATCAGCCTGCTACTTTTCACATGTGTGTAACATTTATCATGATGCTAACCATGGAGTTAATACATGCAAATCAGCGGCTGGACACAAAGCTACCAAGTCATGACTACAGGGAGAAGTACATATGCAAGCTTCTACACCTATAAAAATTGACTTATTGAAGGATGAGTTGCAATACCACCCAGATAGACAATTTGTGAAATATTTGGTAGAAGGTTTAACAGATGGGTTTGACACATTGGTCAACATGGTTACACTGCCTACTAAGGAATGCAACAATCTATTGTCCGCCAGATCGCAGCCTGACGTAGTTGACAGGCTCATCGAATCCGAGGTGAACAAAGGATTTTTGTGTGGCCCGTTTGCATTTGGGTGCCGTTCAAGCCCCAAGATATTTGACACACTTTCGGAAGCAGTATGCTGGATAGCCAAGAACAATTATGGTATTAGATACATGTTACATCTTTTGGACGATTTCATTACGTTTGAAGAACCAGGTCTGTGTGGCGAACGGAACATGGCTTTGTTACATTTGATTTTCAATAGGCTGAATATCCCGATGGCTAAACACAAAACATGCGGTCTAGAGATAGTTATAGAGTATCTCCGTATTGTTTTAGATTCGCATAACATGCAAACTCGGTTACCGAAAGAGAAGCTGGACAGAATCTGCAAATTTCTTCAGGCTTTCCTTGTACGTATGTCTTGTACCAAGCGAGAACTATTACAGTTGTTGGGACATCTGAATTTTGCCAGTAAAGTGGTAATACCAGGGAGATCTTTTGTTTCTCATTTGAGTAAACTTAGTACTACTGTGAAAGAATTGCATCATCATGTAAGGCTGAACAATGAGTGTAGGAAAGATATTACAATGTGGTTGATATTTTTGTCAAACTGGAATGGTGTTATGATATTTTATAATCGAGATGTAATTACAACAAACACTTCACAGTTGTATACAGATGCGTCAGGAACTATTGGTTATGGTGGATAGGCCAGTAGTTCGCCCAACCATGGCCTCCATCCTTAAAGGACGTGATCAGCAATAGTGATGAAATTTCCATAGCCTTCAAAGAACTGTATCCTATTGTCATGGCATGTATGTTATGGGGTGGATCATGGAAAAGTCAACAAATTGTTTTCATGTGTGACAATATGGCAACAGTAGCCATCATTCAAAAAGGCAGATCTAAATCTCCACAAATCCTGCCTTTAATGAGACAATTAACTCTGTGTGCCGCTTATGGGAATTTTATTGTTCTGTCACAACATGTCCCGGGTAAACAAAACCAGGTTGCTGACTCTCTCTCTCGTTTACAGATGGGCAGATTTCGACAGTTGGCTCCACAGGCACATCCACTGCCATGCAGAGCGCCTCACTCGTCAGAGGTTTTATGGGACTGCAACCAGTAATTTCAGAACTGTGGCATGCAGCCATTGCCCCCAACACCAGAGCAGCATATCAAACAGGATTCAACTTGTTTCTACAGTTTCTGTTAATGGCCGGCATCACAGCATCAGTGAGTGTGGACAATTTAACTGTAACAGAAGACATACTGATGTACTTTGTGGCACATTGTTACAATAGCAATCTAGCCCACAGCACTATCAAGCTGTATATTTGTGGTATCCAGTTTACGTGCTTAAGATTAGGAATCAAATATCCTAGCAATGTTGACTTACCACGACTGTGGTCTATTCTAGGAGGGGTGAAAAGACGCCAAGGGAAGAGAACTAGGCTATGCTATCCAGTGACTTTCAGTATTTTGAAAGAGATTTGTACTTTTCTCCGTCTATCTAATATGGAGTACGTGAGCGAGACGGTTAATGAAGATCTAGTGCTAGAAACTGTTTGTACCATAGCTTTTTTCGGTTTTCTCAGATGTGGGGAGTTTACGGTACTTTCTGACTTTGACCCAACCCTACATTTATGCATCGGAGACTTGGTGATAGGAACGGACTGTGTTTTATTAACTCTAAAAATGTCTGATCCTTTTCGCAAGGGTGTTACTATTAGACTTTTTAAGAACAATACTCAGGTGTGTCCATACGAGATTTGTTGTAAATATATGAAACACAGGCTTGACAGCAGTCCTTCATGTGATGATCCTCTCTTTGTCATGCGAGATGGTAAGGCTCTTACCAGGAATGTCTTTATAGCTAAATTTAAACATATCTTAGAATGCATAGGTGTCAACGCAGAGAGGTATAATGGTCATTCCTTTAGAATAGGAGCCGCAACTACGGCTGCTTCAGTACATTTAGAGGATCACCTGATTAAAGTCTTGGGAAGGTGGTCTTCCGATGCCTATTGTAGATACATAAGAACTCCAATCGCTACTATAAAAGAAGCTCAGATAGCCTTGACCACTCAATAGAGTCTGGTACGGCTTTCAAGTAATTATCATACACCTCAATCTGTTAGAATTTACTGTAGTTTTAGATACGTTTTTTGTTTAAATTCTCACGTTTGTGATACTTGGTTGTAATGTACTTCATATTATGTAACTTTGCTATTTCTATTGGGTTTATCAGTGATTCAGATTCAGGTCGGTCATAGTCCGATTGAGTTAGAAATTGACCGATAAATTCACTTGCCGGCAAGACAAATGACCAATTGTTTTCAATAGCAAATTGTAGAACTATATAACCAAAAAGGTCGCCCATCGAGTGATTTATAATGTTACACTATAGCACCGACTGTTATCTCGTTAATAACAGTTTGGTTGATGTCTGAGGTATTCCGACAGCCCGTATTCCGATTGGCTGTAGTCAGCGTTCCTAGCGCGTTTGTCACTAAGGTCAATGGGTTTAATATGTTATAAGTGCCGATAAGATCCTGATTATTTTCAAACAAGATGCCGGCAAAGAAAAGACGATTGATTGAGGGACAAAGGTCCCTGTCGTCTTTTTTTACTGACGATCTCGGGACGACGGTGACAGAAAGTCAATCTTTAGATTCACAGCCGGTTACAGCAGTTTCTGAGGGGCAAACAGTAACGACTACCCATGTACGCTCTTTTCAGGAAAGATGGCATGAGTTGTACCGTCCGTGGCTGATACACACTGACGGTATCGGTATGCAATGCTCAGTCTGTATAGATGCAAAGCGTTCCAACAGTTTTACTGTTGGTTGTAAAAATTACCGAACTAGTGCTATTAATGAACATGTTAAAACCAATGATCACCAAACTGCGATTTTAGTTCCCGAACTAAAACAAAACATGTTAAAAGCTAATAAAACAGTAGAAACGAACGAGGAAAAAGCAGTACTAGTAGCTATGAAGGCCATGTATTGGCTGGTAAAGGAATCTTTGCCATTAGTAAAGTTTAAATCTTCACTACAGCTATTCCATGACTTGGATGTACCTAATGTCAAGTACTTGAAAAAGTCAGATGGTGTTGACTATTCCTCATCATATAGTGCACAGGAATTCCTTGCTGCTATGTCTGAGACATTGGATAAGAAACTGGAAATGACATGAAAGACTTTCCAGCTGTTGCTTTTTTAGCAGATGAGTCCACAGATATTAGTGTCCACAAAAGACTTGTTATCTATGTGCAACTTCTGAACCCTGTCACAATGAAAACTTGTACTCGCTACCTTACAGATGTCCAGCTTCATGAAGGAACTGGTACTGCTATTGCAGCTGAAATATTCAGCCAGTGTGAAAAAAGAGGTGTGACCTGTAAAAAGATTATGGGACTTGGTTCAGACGGTGCAAGTGTGATGACAGGGAAGGGGAAAGGTGTAGCTGGAATGATGATGCGTAAAAATCCTCATATAATTAATGTTCATTGTGTGGCACACCGTCTAGCCCTGTCAACAAGCCAGGCAGCTGAAAATATAGCTCCCTTAAAGGAATATCAAGAAACCATCACTTCCATATACTATTACTTCAAATATTCACCGAACAGGGTAGCAAGTTTGAGTGAAATTCAGAAAGTTTTGAATGATCCACAAGTTCGATATAAGGAAGTACACAGTGTTAGATAGCTGTCCTTTTATAATGCACTGGAAACTGTCCACAGGACTTTAGACTCTCTACTTACATATTTTGCGGAGACTGTCAATTCTAAGGATCCAAAAGCTGCAGGATTAAAGAAGAAGGTAAATGGATTTATCAAGTACATTGGTACATGACATTAACTTAATTTTAATCTGATGATTCAATTTATTTCATTTTTATTTAATTTAATTTTTAGTATTTCTATGTAATGTTTTTCTATTTGTTTCTTTGATAATCTTTAGTAAAATTATTTTAAGTTGAGTTGTACAGAAGTACAGAGCATTGACAATCATTTTCAGTTGTTTCTAAATTATTTTAATTTTCTGTTGATTATTTTAATTTCCTTTTTTTAGTTTTGTTTGTTTATGGACCGAAGTCAAATATATTGTGATTCCTGACCGTTGCAAGGTTTATCTACATCTACTTATCTGAATTGTGAATGTGACAGACATGGAAGTGATGCAATGTTATATAAGGTTGGTTAAACCCCCAAAATAATAATAAATAATGAAATAAAAATATTATTTAAAGTAAGTAAATTTTTATATCTTAAAATTTGGGCACCATATAAATTGGTCTATTATTAGTATTGAAATCATTTTTTTTCAACAACTTAAATTTTTCACTTTTTTTTTTACAGATTGGTACTTCCAAATTCATTTCCATGACATATATATTAATGGACATCATCCCTGTTGTTGGAAAACTTAACCTTTTCTTTCAAAAGGAAAATGTTGATGTTGCACTGGTGAAAGTAAGTGATCATAAAAGCAGATTTTTTACTCTTATCATTCTTGTTAATGTAACAAATAGATTAAAAGTAACTTCAGGGATAAAATTTGTATAATATTTGTCCTGAAGAAGCCTCTGCGACAGAGGCAAAACTAGTCGACGAATAAAGTCAACACTCTCTTATTGGTAACGCGTGAGTATGTTGTGATTAATACCCTCTTCATACATACTTCTTAGTTTTTGTTTAATTGCCCTGCATACCCTCTGGTATCCATACTCACAGCGAAGTACCCACCTAATACCCACTTACTCATACCTGACGTTGGCTCCTTCTCTTTGAAGTTACTTTAGAAGATTTATATTCCGGAGCCCCTGCATCCTCGGATCCGTCAGAAGAGCCCTCACACCAAACCGGGACCAGCTCACACCACATAGAATGTCGGAGCAAGATAACTCTGAATTCTTATTTAAATTACCCACCGACACAAACTCGGACAACCCACAAAACAACCCGGAGAAAAAGAGACCCAGAACTGAGAACGACACGGAGAAAATTAGCATCCCGGCCATTGTTGTACCACACTTCAAAGTGTACCGTCGATTATCTATCCAGCTTGAACGATGTGGTCATCACATCGCTTTTTTAGAAAGAAGCATTAAAATCGGAAGTATCCCCAAGGGACTCAGAGTCAGAATAACCCCACAAATACCGGATCCCGATACCAATTTTGACCTCCAATGGGAGGAATGTCACATGAAATTCGGTACTGAACTCACTAAGACTTTACTCACCTACTGGATATCACGTAGGCAGAGTATTACTAAAGAAATCAACAACCTGAAAGAGAAAATTCGGGAAGATACTAGCCCGGACATTCAAGAACACATCTACAATTTAGTCGAGAATTTATTGGAGAAGAAGCGGAACGAACCGCCAACTGAAAGAACAACCCAGGAACAACAGAAATGGAAAAAAGGACGCGTCAACGCAAGTTCGTCCCGCACAGAGAATACCGGAAACAGAAAAGAAACAACTTCATCGAAACAAAATCAGTAGTTAATTTATCGGAGCATGTTTTATCTAAAGCCGAATTGCAATTATTATCTAGGGGTTTAAATTTCTGCCCCACACCTAAACCACCGAGTACAGATCTTTTGTTAACACAAACCTTCCTGTTTAACAGGAGGGTCCGCATCAAACATTTCTTCAGAAATCACCCTGAATCTACACCTATACCATTCCGAAAAACATCGGGATGGACCCCACCATCAGGAATAGATAATCATTTAGATACTTTCCTTAACATTGTAACTGAATCAGTAAAAACGGAAGTAAAGTCGGCCAAGATAAGTAAAAACCTCAGCTCAGCAGAAAGACAAGCATTAGAGAATCTAAGAGGAAATAGTGATATAATTATCAAACCCGCCGACAAGGGGGGAGCTATCGTAATACTAAACAAAATAGATTACATAACAGAAGCCCATAGACAATTACAGAATCCGACGAACTACAAACACCTCCCAAAGGACATAAACAATGAGATCACGCGGAAAGTCAACCAATTTCTAAAGTTCATCTCCACCCGTAACCTATTAGATCAAGAGATCATCCAGTTTTTGACCCCAAAAAATCCTAGAACCCCTATTTTTTACCTATTACCAAAAATACACAAACCCGGCAACCCTGGTAGACCAATCATATCTCAAATAGGAAGCTGTACTGAAAATCTATCGGCTTTTGTGGACCACCACTTGAGACCAATAGCAACACAAACTGAATCATATATAAGAGACACCACTGATTTTCTAAAAAGAATCCGGGAACTGGGCACACTACCGGCTGGAAGTCTGTTATGCACAGCAGATGTATCGTCCCTCTACACATCGATTCCCCATTCAGACGGCATACGTGCCGTTAAGGTAGCACTAGACAATAGAACAAACCCCACACCTAACACTTGGATTATACTAAGAATGATAGCCATCATCTTAACTAATAACTGTTTTAGATTTGATCAGGAACACTTTTTACAAACCCAGGGCACGGCAATGGGCACTAAAATGGCCCCGAACTACGCAATAATATTTATGGACTACTTAGAACAAAGATTTCTAGCCACCCAAAAGAAAACACCAATTGTCTGGTGGAGATACATAGATGATATTTTCTTCATATGGCCCCACACTCGAGAGGAACTATCCTCCTTCCTAGAGGCCCTTAACTCTTACCACCCCACCATCAAGTTTACGTCGGAAATCAGCGGGATTTCGGTAGACTTCCTAGACACCACTGTTTACCTAAGAGAAGATGGAACATTAGGCACCCGTATTCATAACAAACCGACGAATGCCTTCCTATATCTTCACTACAAAAGTAGCCACCCGAAACACCAAAAGGAGAACATACCTTATTCACAAGCCTTACGAGCTAGGAAAATATGTAGCTCTGATGAAGACTTCAATGCAGAATGTACTAATCTGCGCGAAAGATTTTTGAATAGAGGATACCCACAGTCATTAATCGAAAAAGCCATTACAAGAACAAGTCTAACTACGAGAGATAGCCTTCTCACCAACAAGGATAAAACCGAAAGGAAAACAGTCCTTCGTACTGCCATACAATCCACACAATCCGC